TTTCTAGTGGTTGGTGATGGTGGGGATCTACCTAAATACAGGTAAACTAACAAACTCAATTTATAAATAAAATTTCTGAATCTGCATTTTTTTTCCCAGATTTGAATACTTTATATATTTTTAAGATTCATCATCTCATCCCATTGCCAGATAGTGGAAAGTTCACCCAAATCTGACTGTATAAGGTATCTGTCACTGCTACTAAAGATCATTGACATTTAAAAGTAAATTCAGGTTTCTGACTAAAATATCCCTCTTCATTTGGCTCTTAGTGTTCCATAGTCAGTCATTGTATGCTCTCCAGTTTAATTATGCATTTATATAATACATGTCTGCCTTAGAGCATATGATCACTCTACCATCGATGGTATTAAAACTCATGACCTTCTGGACACGGGACGAGATCCATATTCTGCTGAGCTAAGCACCACCTGATCACAGAACTAAGAATTACGTATTCTACCATCATATTCTGGGGACATTACCTACACACACAGATCAGCCAAAACCCTACGACCCAATAGCCTCTCCCATACAAAGCAAGTAATGTCAACAGTGGTCCACAGAACCACTGGCAACAGCGTGTTAGGCAGTCGAGACTCAATGCAAGATGTGCTATCCTGTCTGGTGTCAACCTTTGCTTCTTGCTTTTCCTTCTCTGGCCTTTTATGTCCCTAAATAGCAGACTTATCCTGAGGCACTGAACACCCTCGAATGCAAATACAGCTGGAATTTGTGACTTCAAGTATAGCGAACTGGATGGTATCGTGCTTTAAACCTTATGGAGTCTGAGGCCTATCGGCCATTGTTGAGGTAGTCTGACATGCCTTGACATTTATAGATATTTCACTTTAAAACATTTATCCCAAAGTGCTAAATATGGATTTATTCAGCACAAACTCAGTACCAATAACCTAAACCACACAAGTCTGTTCTCCCATGCTCTTAATGCAAAGAAGCACGTAGAGTGTTGAAGGCAAAAGACACTTGCGTACATTCTGCCACTGATTAAGCGCTTTTAATTGCATTTTTTGCTATGCATTCTGCAGGGCTGTATTTAGTCAGGTGGCTCAACATGGCCGAACAATATTGCAGTGGTCAGATAGCCAAATATGTAACAAAACCTTTTTATTATACATTTAGAAGTAAATCTTACAATCCACAACGCAGGTGAATAATTCATCGAATTATATCAAAATTATATACGACAAGAGTATATAGAAATATATTACCATTAGGCAGGATTCAAGTGACTTGTCAACACACCAGGTAGGTGAATCAATTAGACGTAATGACTGGTCCATTAAAATAATAATAATAATGAAAATTAGTTTAAAAATAAAAAAAAAAACGATGGAAGTAGGGTGCCCTCGCTAACCTAAGCAACAGAGAAAGTACCTTCACTGCAGTTAGAGTGGGACAGACAGTCACTCTCATCTTGATGTACTTCATTTGAGCAACACTGAATGCCTCATATATTTCCTGGTAGATCGAGAAACGCTCCGCTTTGAACTAATATGGGACGCCATTTGTCCCAATTTTCGTACCCGCACACTACACAAACTAGAAGAGGGGCCCCCAAAGATCTACCTAATCAAGACATTCACCTAACTGGAAACCATTCCACACATAATGGAGTACATGTGTGGGTTTTGAGTGGCAATGACTAACAATTGGTTTGGAATAATATATCGCAGCTTATGCTGTAGAATATATGTTTCATTTGGACTACGAAGTTAAGCACATTAGAATGCATCGCTGATAAAATACTAAACATTCAGTTCATGCTACTAATAACATTTACACTATATCTATTTTTAAGGCATATATGCTTGTTTACAGAGTTGTTCAGAATGAAGGGGGGTGGGGAAGCTGAAATATACGGAGCTATTCTTAAACACAGCATTCTCATAAATTACCGATTAGATATTGCCAATTTGATAAAGTAACTGAAGAAATTAATGTATTTATTATACGGTCTATAGTGGATAGACCATTTGACAGACAAACATTTTATCTAGTTTTACTTTATCTGATAATAAAACTGCTGCAGTACTGCTTACTTGGGAAAAATGGTTGAGGGATCATCAAATAAGACCTATAAAATGACAATAACAATGTCATTGCTCTGCCCAAAATTCAAACTTGATTTCGTTTTTGTCAAAGAATTCTCGTGTTTGTGACAATGACCAAACATAAGTGCAAATAGACTACCACCATGATTTCATTTTCAAAATGATTAAATGTCAAAATGTAAACGAAATGGTCCATGTTCCACATTTTCCTTCTTGCCAAAATCACCGGAGGGCATAACCCTTTTCCTGCTCGATGTATCAATTATACTTCCTGCATGGCCGCAATGGATGTGATCACGCTGGTGAAGAGAATATGCACAACTCGATAGCACACGGCTTTTAAGTGCTGTTTTGACTTAAGTGCTTCACAGGAGAATAGATGCCATAGTCTATGAGTTCATGTGTGTGTTTCCAGGGATGAATTGGCATGTTTTGCAGAACACACCCCTACCTGGTGCCCCATATTCCTGGCATAGTTGGCAGGGCCCCAAATTATCTTGATCAAGATAAACGGTTATGTAGACATGCAAGTCATGTGAATACGTCAAATCTAAAAGATACTAACAAAATGAAAGACATTTGCTACTAAATAATGTTCATGGCTTGGAAGAAGTTGTCCAAGTGGTCAAAAACAGACAAATGGACACTTGCATTGTTTTGATCCATCTTCAGTGTTTGTTGTGTTGTGTGGAAATGAGGATTATACCGTATTGTGATGACCATGCCCAGTTTCAATCCAGAGCATCCATATCAAACCCATAACCTCAGGCCCTCTGCATCTCTGGTCCAGCACAACCTGCTAAAATACAGTGCTTACCTCCCATAATTAATCCCTACTGATAAACTGACAGTCAGACTTATGCCAAGGTAAGCATACTTGGTGATCGGAGTCAGGAAATTCTCCATGAATGGACATTCTTTCACACAGAAGCTTGATTCGAAAAAAAAAACTTGCGGCCAGAGCACATTGCAACCCTTAAACACAGCAGGGTTCATTGATCAAGCAGCAGTGCATATGTACAATGATAATCAACAAGTGTGAACTGATAGTCACCAAGTTGGTTATGGCAACTGAGACAAGATTAATGGGTGATTAAATGGGTCAACTACTACTAAGGTCAGAAACACTGCAGCAAAAGCCAAGTCATCGCTTATCACCATACAAGAATAATAAATCTACATGTCAAGAGCTATGTCAACTGCAAGACACCTTTGGACCAAGTGCTTGCAGAATGACTAGCAATAATGTTTAATGCATAAGATTCTGCAGTATATCTTGCTATATGCCCTGGAATAGAATAAAAAATTTTGGTCTAATGGAATTTTAAGTGAACTCATAGCCTCATGGGACACATTTAAACAAAGAACATTGTGCATATTTTGAAATGTTTATCAAATGTCTCTGTGGTGCAACATCACCTGTTAAACTTGTTCCAAACAGAGCGCTGAAATTTTTTAAATGCTCCGGGAATGATCAGTGAACATAGTATGGTAGAACATTTTATAAATCCTGTGGAACACAGTGTAACTTAACAAGGGTTCACATACTAATTGTACTGGGGACTATTTCATGACGAATTAATGCATTCTTTCCAGTACTAAAATGTTTCATGCATGTAATGTTCAGTTTTTTTTTTTTCTTCAAACTGACTTTCCAATGCAGCATAAAAAAGTAAAGCCTAAAGCAATGAGATCATGAACACACTCCCATCATTCCAAAAATATATATTTGCACTCCATCAGTGAAGGAAATGGAAAAATTGGGTAAAGTCAAGAACGCCTGCTGCGTAAACCCAGCAGATACACATTTACGTGGAAGTAACATCCACAGGAATCATATGCCTAACATTGAGGAAGGATCATCGGAATTAGATACAAATTTATATAATATGATCCTAATGCATGACAACGAAACCAAGGAATACCTGTGAAAACCCCGCAAATTAATGAACAATGGTTTAGCTGTGCTTAGTGAATTAGTGAAGTTCAACAGTGCCATCATTAAGCAGAGGGTGACCCAAACACTTAGACTAATTCCAACCAAGCTGATCAAATGACATCTACTCAAATATTAGTTCTGCTCAAATAAGCAATATAGACATTTTATTACACTGTTTTTGGTACCTTTCCTCAATGTAAAAGGCACACTTCTTCAAAAGATTGCCATTTCGAAAAGTCTCCAGATTTTAAGAGGTACATCGGATTATTTTACTAACTGACAGAATATTTTGTCAGAAAGAAATGTCAGGCATACCTGTCCTGAATTGATTTTTCTATTTGGTGTTGTAATCACTGATGAATTTAACTTGTGTCAAACTCGAAACTTAAAACTGCACATGCATTTACAGTAAACAGCTTGTCACAATGACTGTTAAATGCATTTCAAAAACATGACATACAGGGGGAAAAAAAACATTTTCTCAATTTTATTTATTCTTGAAGTAATTATTTAATACAGCCCCCTTCTCCCAGCATGTTAAGACCCAAGACAAGCTCCAAAATGTACAACCCACCTACCCTCCATTCTGTAGCTGTGAGAAGGGCTGTAGACTAGGACTCCAATCTGCAACAATCAGACTTCTGACCAGGACTTCTCCATCCTCCTCCATCACACATTTCCTTATCGCCTTCAAAAATGCCCAGAACTTTCCCCATATGGGTGCAGTTTGATGAGTCTCTCCATTTATTTACTCTCTTCAGATAAAAGCTCCCCCCCGAAAGCATTTCCTATTTTCAAGGCAAGTCACTTCAATGTTTCAAATTTGCAAAAGGAAAAAAAAAATTACAAAGGCTATTTTTCTCCAAAAGTTTTATAACCAGCCCATTCACACACACAAACCCCCTTTGCTACTTTATACAACCAGAAGAAAAATTAAACTTAAGTACATTAAACTCCCCCAAACCTTTTGCAGAGAAACAAACGGAGTGGGGGGGGGGGATACATTTTAACATTAGTCCAAGTTTTATCATGTTCTCTCTTCGCAGGTTTGCAATTTTACTGAGGGAGAGAAAAAGCAGACACAGAATTTGCTAAATTGTTTTGCGCGTCAGTATGTAGCTCTGTGTCTACAAGGCAAAAATACATGTTCGGCAATCTGCTGCACTTCCTCTTATCTGACCAGTTTGCCACTTGTAGGTATGTGCACCCCCCCCCCCCCCCGAAGACGTGTCCGCCTTTACCTCCCTTCTGAGTGTGCATGTATTTTAATCTGTCTCTGTACAATATTAGGCGAGTCTTAGCCAGTCCGACGCCCAAAGGAAGTCCTTTACTCGGGGGCGCCAGTGTTAGAGGTTCAGTGTGTCTCAGAATCTGGAACGGTCTGTATATGTGAAAGTGCTGGTGCCTAGGCCAACCCGAAGCCCTCCGAGCACTCCTGAATGGCCAACAGGAGCATGTGTCTTAATTTCTCGTAGCTTTCGTAGGCCGGTAAGTCCAGCTGGTTAAAGCTGCAGGAGAGGGAAGAAAAAGGTGTCAAAACGATGACTGTCAGTAAGCAAGTCCCAGGATGGGCCCTGCCGAGATACCCTTGGGCAAGGTGACTAACTTAAACTGTTCAAATAAAGCATCCAGCTGAAAAAAAGCACAAAAACCAGGTTGCTTTGTGGTAAGAGGGTAATCACAGCAAAAACAGGTACTCAAATGCAACATAAAAACAACAAAGGTGAAATATACTTTTTTTGCTTTGCAGAATTGCAAATTAGTATTCTGGTTGCACACTGTACTATGCTTTCCTTATATCGGTGTATATTTGGTATATAGCTTTATAAAACTTGATGGGGTACTGGGGGCAATACCAGCACCTTTGTGTAAAAACTAAACAAAAGCAAGTTGTGTGTGACTGACCAGGTGTGAGCAGAGGGCAGGCGGTCTGTGGAGCGGTCATCTCGGTGGATCTGGAACTTCTGGATGCCATTCATGCCTTCCAGGGCAGCAAAGCCCTGTAGGGGCACCTTGGACGTGCCCGTCACGAACTGCAGAAACTTGGCCCGGTCTGCTTGGTCGAAGGACCTCAGGGCCCGCCAGAACCACTGGATCTGAAACGGATAGTGAGACTGGCTCAGAAGAGAAAATACTAAAAGGCAAATTATTTCAGCAAGATGGTCACACTGAGATTTAACAGACATCTTTAGATCTTGGATATGATCTTAGCCAAGTCTGGGCAACCACACACATTTTTTTTTTTTACACTGACATCCTTGGAATACTGTTAGGTTACACAATGCTCTCCAAAGATATGGTCTGACATTACTGCAATTCAGAAAATTCCAAAAGGTACAACAGACTGACAAGGAGGGGGGTGATATCCTAAACAAAGACAGGAAAGATGCTGGAATACAGAAGAGCAGAAAACATACTTCATCACACCACTTTGCCAAAAGGTTTATGTGACGGATGCTTTCATTCAAAGCGATGTGCAACCGGAAAAGCAAGTTTCGCCAGTCTGGGGCTAAAGGCCTTGCTCAGGGGCTCAACAGTGAAATACTGACCATGGAATTCAAACCACTGACTTTCTGGTTCATGGACACAGAAGCCTAACTTGCAGCGCCACACACCGCCCCAAGAAAAGAGTGGGCGAGCCCAAGGTTTGAACCTGGGATTTTCCATACAAAGGTACACAAACACACAACCAAGAGAGCATAACATGACCCACAGGCATAACATGCTTTAGAGAGAAACTTCTGGGACATTCGACGTATCAAAGAGGTATAGAAGATGGCTAGTACCTGTATGGAGCTAGACTGGTATTTGTGGTACTCCGTGTTGGCTTTGAGATCATCTATGTCGATTGTGGGCAGACCCGATATGAGCAGCTCCAGCTCCTGCTCCGTGAAGATGGAGATGAGCCGTTTGGGGATGATCTCATAGAAGCCTTCCAGGAAGGCAGCCAACTGCTTCCGAATTGCCCCTGAGAGGCAGAAGGAAAATTAAGATGCACACAGTCAACTCATAGAGAAGGTCAGAGGAAAAAGGAAAGAAAAATCACTGCGCACGGTGTTGAGGACTGCAGCAACTTTCTTGGCTCACCTGTCATTTTCATTTGGCAAACCAGATGCACATATTCCTTTTTGTTCTCTTCTGTCACTAGGATGTTGGCTCCATTGGGCTTCAGGTCCCTCACTTCACACACCCCAAACTCTTGGACCTAAAGCAAATAAAGGGATTAATAAGGGGATTCGGCGAAGCCTCCTCTTCATGCTACACGTCTGGCACACATTGTCCCCCCCAAACTCTCGTCATCTGCGTCTCATTCCCAGTCACCTCAGGTTTTCTTTTTGATGAGTTTGATGGAAATTGTCCTGCATCCAACAATTAACTTGCTTAAGGCCCTGACATAGGGAAACAATGGCGCTGAAAAAACTGGGTGACAGAGCCAGTTCAATCTGTCTCATCCACATAACTATGACAACAGCAAGTATATATAGAGGTTCAATAAGAGGCCCTAGGATAGATCCACAATTAATGAGTGTGCACCTTCATTTATAACTGCCGATTTCAACTGCCTTTTAGGTATGCCTTAAAGCACAAGACGGTTCCAGTGAGGCTCACCCAAGACTCCAGCCTATCCAGGAGTATTTTGTGATCAATTTGTGTCAAATGCTGAACTTAGATCTAATAAAACCAGGACTGATACTTTGCCTGAATCAATGTTTAGCTGGATGTCATTCAGAACTTTGATAAGAGCTGTCTTGGTGCTATGGTGAATGCGGAAGCCTGACTGAAGTCTGTTGAAAGCCACTCTCAGTAATCTGTAGCAGTTCTGGCAACATGAAGAATGCAAGGAACGGGGAGCCATTCTTCCTTTTACCGAGATACAAGCTCCACTAAAATTAATAAAGCTTCCTGCTATGATAAACGGAGAATGTGTACTTGAATTTCTAGTCCCAGGCAGAAAATCAATTTTGGCTTTTTGATTTTAAAAAAGCAGTTAAAGTGCAGAAAAAATTTTCAACTAGACAAAAGTTCAAGGCATGAAAATGAGAAGTTAGAAGCAGCACAAAAATACAGGAATGGCGGCATGTTGCTGAGCAATCTCCTTATTGAAAATACTGTATATCAGTTTAGTGCTAAGTGCGGAGTTTTTGAGTAATCCTAATGTAGAGAGTATTAATGTTAAAAAAAAAAAGGTGTCAAGATGATCATCTCATTGTTAGCTGAATATGTTGTGATACCAACAGAAAGGCAGACACTAAATTAGCTGAGCCTGGAGGGCTGGTGGAGTGAGGAGTGTTTTGTTCAGTACACATTCCATGGAAGGGCTCCACATAACTGAAAGGCCTGAGGTTTGGGAGGTAGCCCAGACTGGGGGTGATGTGGTTTTGGATCCTTCCCATTGTGAACTTCAAGCCTGAGTGAAAGTTCCTTCATTTGAGATTGTGATACTTGCTTAAGAGTGCATTTGATGAACTTGCAGCTCACATCTAAGGAAGAGAGATATGCAACACTGGCAGAGTTGAACTGGAGGGTGGAGGTGTGGATGGAGCGTCAGATTGAAAAGGAGGCGGCTCGAGCTGGACGCAATGAAGGTTGCTACAGTTACAGTTGTATGGATGATTGTTTTAATGAATTTGGGCACACTGCATCTCCTATGCAGTGGTGTGATAATGCTTTGCTTTACTTGCAGGTTTGTTGGGAAGGCAAAGGAAAGCCTGTGCTGCTCTGTCACAGGATAACTGCAGTATGAAGCTGTTGTAAACAGCTTTTGCTGAGTTCAGGAGAAAGGGGACTTTGATAAATGGTATGACACCAGTAAAGTGACAGACCTTGCATATCTTTGGGAGCTGATCCCCTTCGAGAAATTTAAGAATTCTTTGTCTGACTATATGAGGTCATCTTAATGAACTAAGCAAGCTCATTATATCATGCTGCTGCATTAGCAGATTAATTTAGTTTAACTCACAATGCGTTTACATTTTCACCCATGGCATCCCAATATGGTAAACGGATGGTAACAATCCAGTGCACCATACTTGAAAGCCAAGCGCATCTTCTACTATCATAGGGTAGTTCATCTAATCGTCGATTGTTTCAATCTAAGGAAACAGCAATGATACTGCACACAGACTTACTGAAGATGCAGTGGACATAAAATCTAAGCCCAACCCAAGTCACGTGGAATTTCTGTAATAAGGGTTTGTTTCTAAATCAGGCAAAAAGGCAGAGCAGATTTTGGTAAGTAGTGTACAACACTGGTGTAATTCAAGGTTTCATTTGCTCTGACATGGCAAAGATACTTTTTAAAGTTATTTTGTTGAGGATGTCATGTTTTTGCACATAGGGAACCTAGCTGTCTCAAAGTCATACCTTCGGTACTGTGTTGGCACAACAGTCTATCATATAATCAGCATGATGACCAACTGTCAAGGCACCTAGGAATTATCAAGTGTGACAATGGCCAAGATGCGAACTGCACGGCCAGCAGGAAGGTCACGACCCCCTAGAACGAGGGCCTCCGATCCAGGGGAATCATGCAGGGCTGGACTACAATAATGCCCACAGCTGCTGCCACCTCCTTGAAGCAGATGTCATATTTAAAGGGGGGGGGGGGGCTGGGCATGATGCTGCCTAAAGCTCTGGCTGTGGCAATAGCATATCGAAATTGTATCCCAGACCTCTGCCCTGTAAGTTGAGAAAGGGTCCAGATTGGGGACCAAAACCTGTCTGTTGGGTTGTGGTTTTTCCTCTCACCTTATTTCTCCATGTTTCTCACAGACCAACCTTACTGGGCACCAGGAATTGCCTACCCTTCCGGCACCCATAGCTCCAGTCTTCCCAGTGCAAGAAATACCGATAGCAAGTGAAGACCCTAAAGAGCGGTAGAAACCAGTGGCACTGGTTCTGAAGCAGTCACTGAAGGAAGATAATGGCGCTTTCAAACAGCCCATTACTTACTTTCTTTTGGTTCCACTGGGCTTCTGCTGCCTTACTTCATATACCTCAAACAATGGCAAATCAAGGGAGTAACCAGGGAATTCAGAGAAAACGTCCATGTCAGGTTATGTATTGTTTTCACTCTAAAGCAAGGATTACTCCTGAGCCCGACAACCTTCGATAGTGTCTGCACAGCTGAAAATCGACTGTTCAGCAATTGCAGAACCCAAAACAGTGGCAAAGCAATAGAGCTGTGTGATTGATGGAGAGCTACTGCACATAGAGATATCGGGATACAAAGATTACAATTCATTTACCTGTGGAACAACCCTGTAAATACTGTACAGATCATCCTGCTACTACACGATTATCACATCGTAAATCTGTTCTAACACGACTGAATTATTAGTACCCAAGTCCAATACAACAGGAATCGCATTTGCATTTACGCGATTTTCAGGTTGGAGAGAAAAGCACTATATGGACTACAATGCGATATAGTCTTAATGAGACACACTACTTCAGCGGTGGCCAATCTTATCCGCAAAGGGCCGGTGTGTATGCAGGTTTTTAGGATAACCTTTAGGTCAGCTGTTCAAACCCAGATGTGAGGACTCTTCAGCCAATCAGTCCTCTAATTAGTAATCTAATTAGGGAGCTGCAGCAAAAACCCGCATACACACCGTTCCTTTGCGGATAAGATTGGATACCGCTGAACTACTTGCATGCAAAAGCAGCAAACCAAGTGACGAATAGTGATGTCTGATTTGTGAACGAATCATTCTATTGAACTGTGTCTTTTCAGTAAATCAGTCAAACCAGTTTTCAAATATAAAAGAATCTAACATTTAGTACATCCACGCAGTGCACAAGTCAAAGTCTTAAGTTGTACAAGTTTAAAATTTTGAAAAATCATATGAAAACCTTTTCCTATCTCATATCTGCTTTTTGTATACTGTCTGTAGCCATGTTGCCTTCAGTGCCCAACCACCGTAATCCTGTGGGTTGGTACAGTGTGCATGCCCAGTCACATGGTGACTGTCAGTGCCCCACCACATACCGTAATCCCAGTGTGCATGCCTGATCGCATGGTGACTGTCAGTGCCCCACCACATACCGTAATCCCAGTGTGCATGCCCGGTCGCATGGTCACTGTCAGTGCCCCACCACATACCGTAATCCTGCGGGTTGGTACAGTGTGCATGCC